GTAGGAAGAACCAATACAGTCGAAATGGCCATATGTCCAAAGTTGTTATACAGATTTAGTGCAACCTTGATCAAAATACCAATAGCAAAGCTCACAGAATTAGTTAAAACAATCCTAAAATTCATTTGGAACTGGAGGAAACCTAGATAGAATAGCAAAGTAATTCTGGGCAACAAAAGTAAGGAACAAGCATCACAATCCTAGACTTGAGATGATACTACTGGCCAAAAAGCAGACCTGAGGGTCCACAGAACAGATTAGAAGGTATGGATACAGCTCCAGACACGTTCAGCCACCTTATCTTTAACAAATGAGCCAAAACCTCCAACGGAAGGCAGACAACTTTGTTAATAAATGGTGCTGGGAAAACTGGCTCTCCACGTGCTGACAGTTAAAACTAAACCCTGGTCTGTCACATGTACTATATACTAAAATCTAAACACATCAAAGGTCTAAATGTTTGTATAGAAACACTAAATCTGCTGGGAGAGAGAATAGGTAGAACTCTTGAAGATATTGGTATAGTCAAAGTATTTATGAACAAAACCTTGATTGCACAGGAAATATCACGAAGAATCAATAACTGGATCTCATCTTATTAAAAAGCTTTTGCACAGCAAAAGAAACCATCACAGGTAAAGAGACAACTCATGGAGTAGGAAAATTTTTTTTTAGCTGTTCCTCAGGAAAAAAATCTAGAATATGTGAATGACTAAAAAATTATCACATCCCTCAAAATTTAAAGACTCAGTCCAAAAATGGGCATCTGAAATGAATAGACACTTCTCCGATAAAGACTTAGAAATGGCAAATAAACATATGAAAAATGTCTGACATCCCTGGTCATTTGAGAGATGCAAATTAAAACAACACCAGGAGTCCGTCTCCCTCCAGAGGAAGGGCAATTGTCAAGAAATCAATCGATTACAAATGCTGGTGGGGCTGTGGGGGAAAAGGACCCCTTCTTCTCCACTCGGTGGGAGTGTGGACGCTGGAAACCACTGTGGAAATCAGTGTGGCGATTTCTCAAAAAACTCAAGCTAGCGTTTCCATTTGACCCGGAGAGTCCTCTTCTTGGTATCTTCCCCAAAGGAAAGCATCATACCTCAGCAATGAATGCACACCCATGTTTATAGCAGCACAGTCTGTAGTAGCTAAACCTTGCAAACAGCCCCAAAGCCCAACTGGCGAATGGATAAAGAAGACATTTTTTTTAATACAATGGAGTACTGCTTTTCCATAAAGAAAGATAAATTTGAAAAGTTTCTAACTAAACAGATCATGCTGTTTCTCTGGTGTGAGAAACCGGAAGTATAAATAAAGACCAAAAGAACAAGACATCATAATAGGTAGTGCTGATTTAATATCCTCTTGTTTTGAAGTCCCATCAAGCTTTTGTTCTTCTGTCTCCATCGGTTTTAACGTGTTGTATCTTATTGAATTTTATTATATGTGATAATATAAACAAAAACTTTTATAGACAAGGAGATTATACAGAAACCATTGTTCATTTTGTGTTAGTTGATTCTAAATACCCTGTAATACTGTCATTCTCTTGAACGATTTTACATTGTCTTGATACGTTTGATGCTACAGTATATGAAGTTACACCCAAAGATTTTAAGGGAAGAGACACAATGGTAACTACTATTATGTCAAGATTAACTTGTGGTGAAACACTATTTTGCTTAAATGGCTATTTTTGACCTGCGCTGTTTTGTTGTTATGCCCCCCCCTTTTTTTTTTATCTCAATCTCCTTTTTATTATCTACTTTTTCATTTTTATCCTTTTAATTAAGGGAAAAATAAATAAAAAATAGCAGGATATATTATAGTAACCCACTTTGATTTCCTATTAACTTGATTTGAAACTCTGTATTGCTCTCACCATCTTGTTTTGACTGATTTTCCTGTATTCTGTTATGCTTGATAGTACCAAGTTTGAAAGTATAGGCAACACTATGAAGACAATAAGATTCATTGTGTTGCCCATTCTGGTTGACTATTATCTTCTTTTGAAGTCCTCTGATGTCTCCAATGTTTTGGTTTTATTGGTCTTATTCTTTACTGTTTTGTTCAATTTTATTATAACTGATGATTTAGGTAATTCTTTTTAAGATAGCAAGAGGCAGTATGGTAACCATTGTTGATTACCTTGTATTTTGTTTTTACATTATGTATTATGTCCATCCTTTTGATTTGACTGACTCTGTCCTGGTATGTCACATTTTTACTTTCTTCAAAAAAAAAAAAGTAATAAGAACTGTGGGAGTAATAAAACCCAAAATGTGTAATTGTCATTGTACAAAAGAAAGGAAAAGAAAGTTCTCTAAAAGATATAACTGCATATATATTTAAGTGTATAAGATGGATAACCATATTACTGAGTTTTGTTGGATCAGTGAACAAAACTGTTTGCAGTCTCACTGTTTGAAAGTCCCCTCTATATGCTTTAATTTTGTAACTTCAACAATTATTTCTAAGATGACAATATGTAATTAACTAGTGATTTCCTACTGTTTATTTTTTCTGAAAGTCTGTATAACTTGTACCCTTTTTCTGTTTTTTTTTTCTTTTTTCTCCTTAAATAAAATTTAAAAAAAAAATAAAGACCAAAAGGTGGAACAGACATCGGGAAATAGCATGAGAAGGCGAAGGAGAAGGGAAGGAAAGAAGGGTTTAGCAAAAATTTTAGGATTGCACTAAATCTGCATAACAGTTTTGGGCATATGGCCATTTTCATTATATTGGCTCTTCTTACCCCTACCCCCAAAAAAAGAGAAAAGAAAGAACAAAATAGAAACAAAGCTTTTGTTAAAAAGGAGGGGAAGAGGGGCTGAAGGGAGGGGGCAGAATGGGAAAAAAAGAAGGAAGATATGTCATGTACAGGAATAAATTCCTTATGATAAATGTGATTAATGCGTATATTAAAATGTACCAATAAGCCGGGCATGGTGGTTCACATCTGTAATCCCAGCATTCAGGAGGCTGAGGCAGGAGGATTGTTCCAAGTTGGAGAGCACCAGCCTGGGCTACAAACTTAGATCAAGAGATAAGACCAGCCTGAACTGCACAGTGAGACCCTGACTCAAAAAAAAAGTATCAGTAAAATTTAAGAAACACAAGGAAAAAAAGTAATAAAACAGGATTAAGTGGCAGGAAAAGGATGGGACAGTTATTCTAGATGAGGTCCAGGGGGCCGCTCTGGGAAGAGGCTATTTGAACAAGATGTGAGCAGGAGAAGGCACTGGCCACACAAAGTCCTGGAGAGGAGACTGCAGACAGGAAGAGCCCAAAGCAAGGCCGAGGGGAGTGCGGTGCGGGAAACACCAAAGGGCGGCGGGGGGGGGGGGGGGGGGTTTGGCTGCTGCCGCTGAGTTATAACAGCAGGTGAGGCTGAGACAGGCAGGGGCCGTGATGAGGAGTGTGGATTTATTCTTAGCGTAAGGAGAGGTGCCAGAAGCGTTTTAGGCACAGATCTGATTTCATTTGATCTGTTTCAGAGAGCTCCTCTGGCCTCTCTGCTCTATGGAATTTGGATGGGATGTGTAACGGGCTGGGGCGACGTGCCAGACGTTATTATAGTTGCCCCAGTGATAAATAACATTGATCGGGCTGAAGTGGTGGCTGGTGGAAAGAACTGGCCAGGCATTGCTATCACACAGTGAGTTAGGCCACGAATCGCAGCTCCAAGATTCAACCTCTGCAGCAAAGCCTGCTCCTGGGTTCAGAAATCCATGCGTGCCAGTCCCCTGGAACAGACAGCTGCTTCCTGTGCCCACTCCTGTCCATGGGCTGGGTCTTGGGTCCCAGCCCCAGCGTGGGTCTGTTTTGAGGGCTCTGTGGCCCTTAGTGCTCACCATCAGGAGCCCCCAGCCCCACGTCCTGAATGGGCCCACTGTGCTGAATAAATAACAAGATGCTTGTAAAGCACCTAGCAAGGACCAGTAAAGTACGCGGCAGTGTTTGGTGAGCAGCACAGGCTCCGGGGCAAAGCTGATGCAGGCGGAAGCAGCCTCCATGTGCTTATGTGAATGCTGGTCCTTTGGGCACCTCGATTTCCTCCTGTATAAACACCTCAGCATTATTAAGACCCTCACGTGGGTCAAGGACACTCCTGAGGCCTGGCTTCTTAGCTGCCTGCCTACACCATGCTAGCTCAAAGGACACGGTCGCCCTCTTGTGACCACAGCCCGACTCAGCAGACGGGCGATTCCCTCACTCTCTGGGCTCCAGGTAGGGAGGAGGCGAGGTCGGGCGCTCTCTTACTCCGGGACCCTTTCCTTGGACACTAGCGTTTCTGTCACCAACTGCCTGGCAGGGCTGGCTTTCTTGGCAGTGCAGACGCGAGACTTGCTTAGGTGAAGGAAAGGCTGTCATTCTGGAGATCTGTAAAACGATGGCCTGATGGTCTTCAGGAGGCTCCGGACTTGATGTACCTGATGACACAGCCGTAGCAGGTGTGGCCAATGCACGTTAGTTTACTTACTCCTCTTTATAGAGTCCCTGGGACCAGAGAAATAGGTTCTCCAATTCTCCGGGGTTGAAATTTGTTGTTGTAAACCACGCAGGAAAGAGAAAGACATCGGGAGCACTATGTGGAAAGTGGAGCTTGATGGCTAAATGCAGACTCCTGGGGCCACCACTAGGAACGGTACGCAGAGGACTCTTCTTTGGGATCATTCAGTGTTATCTGGAGATCCCCCACTTCCATCCTCCTGAGCGCTTTTACACAAAATAATCAGATCACAGAGACTTAGAGTTGTACGGAAATTCAGAGCTTCCAGTACGAGGCAGTTTGGGTAAAAAGCCAAATACGTTGCAACTTGAGATTCTCTTATGCCACAATAATGATGCTGTGTATTCCACAAGTGCTCCTTGCCCATAATAAATATGGCAATTCAGCTCCTTTCCCTCTAGGTAAACGTCGTGGTTGCCAATAGTCAACGTGGTCGCCATTCTGTGAGTTCCCATTGGTGGCTGCTCCGAAGTCCTGCCTCCTTTTAGCGTCCGTGGGCGGGGCGGGCGAGCTGCGCCTGCGCGAGCTATTGGCGCCAAGATGGCGATGGAGATGAGACTTCCTGTGGCTCGTAAACCGCTCAGTGAAGCCCTGGGCCGCGATACTAAGAAACACCTGGTGGTGCCGGGGGACACGATCACTACAGACACGGGCTTCATGCGGTACGTGGGAATTTGGGGGGCCCGAGGCCTCAAGGAGCGACTGGGGGCTCTGCATGTGGGGAAACCCCGGCCTCTGGTCCCCTTGCGCGTTGAGTCCCCGCGGGACCTGGCGCATCTCCTGAGCATCCCACTCGCCGGGTGCCTGGTGGGCCCTGTGTCTTGCGGATTCGTCTTGGCCCCGAACCCTCCTAATTTTTGCCGGCTTTATTTTGTATACTGTGCCGTAAGACTAAATTTGGGGGCGGAGTACAGGGGCTCACTAGGTCGTCCCGGTTGGCCTTGAACTCTTATATAGACCAGGCTGGACTCGAACTGGGGCCACCACTCCTGGTTCTGAAGTCCAGCTCTTTGAGCTTTGCTCGCAGGGCTAGCACGGGGGAGGGGCCCTCACGGTTTTCGGCCGTCCGATGGGACAGAGGCGTCCTTGTTTTGGTCTTAGCAAGAACCTCCCTCATTGTCGGAGCCTGAGGCTCAGTTTTAGGAGCAGTAATTGTTTGGCCTTAGAGCAAACACACACGGTGCTACAGGCACCCCCACTGTACCCAATTTTGTGTCTCAGGCTGGAAGGGAGGAAGGGTGCATTAGTTAAGAGGGCAGTCTTTGGGGCCAGGCAGCTGAGTATGGGCCTGTTGCTTTGCCATATTTCTAGATTCTACCCCTCCATGCTCAGTTCCCCACCGGTAAGACTGGTAATAACAGTAACTATCTGGTAGGGTAGAGAGGGTTAAAAAGAAAAACGTTAGAAAAGCAAAACCCATGAGTATGTCACCGTGTGAACTTTTCTGGCAGTGGTTCATCGCCTTCCCATAAACATAAAAAGAAGAGTACAGCATTTATAGCATTGCCAGTGAAGCTTAAGGTTGTTGGATGCTAAGAAATCTTAGGATTCATTTGTCAGCTGAGCATAGTAGTGCACACTTAAAATCTGAGCTCTCTAGGAGGCTGAGGCAAGAGGATCCCAAGTTCAGGCTCAGCCAGGGCAACTTAGCAACCGACTTAGCAAGACTCGATCTGAAAATAAAAAGGGCTACATCCTTGTCTTGCTGCAGGGGCCATGGGACGTACATGGGGGAAGAGAAGCTCATTGCATCTGTGGCTGGCTCAGTGGAGAGAGTAAACAAGCTGATCTGTGTGAAAGCCTTGAAAACCAGGTGAGAGCGGAAGGCGTGTATTCTCTGGGTCTAGCTAGGTTTTTTTTCTGCCTCTCCTTACCCTATACACCCTGCCCACTTGCCCTGACCTGCTCTAGATCTGGGGTTGGGAACTTGATCCTGGGAAGGGTGGGAGAAATCAGTGCCAGCTTCAGAGTTTCCTTGTGTCGTTTGCGTGCTCTGAGACTTGGTTGCCACCTCCACAGTGTGAGGATAACAGCACGACCTGCCTTGCAGGGTATCTGTTAGAATTCAGCCAGGTGGTACTTGTGAGGTATTTAACCAAGGATACGGAAGTTACATAGTTCCCGGAATGGAACGCATGCTTGGGACAGAGTGGCTGAGGGAAGCGCGGGGATGACGGTCGCCTGCCTGGTAGCCAAGGTAGCCTGGTAGTCTGCCCATGGTGAGCATGAGCAGCTCCTCTTTGAGTGATCTGGGGTCACTGGAAGGAATGGAGCACAGAAGGGCCATGATCTGACTTGAGTTTTTTTGTTTTTGAGACAGGGGCTTGTTATGTTGCCTAGGCTGATCTGGAACTCATGGGTCCAAGTGATTCCTCCTGCCTCAGCCTCCCGAGTAGCTGGAACTGTAAGCACATGTGCCTAGCTTGACTCAGGTTTTAATTCATTCTGGCTGCTGTGGGGAGTAGGAAGGAACAGGCAGCCATATTCACCATCTGGAGTAATGGCACCTTGAATAAGTCTTTTTGTTTTTAATCATGAAAGGGTATTGGATTTTGTATCCTTTGGATTTTTGTGTATTTTTTGAGGTAGGGTTTTGCTGTATTGTTCAGGCTGGCCTTGAACTCATATGTAGCTGAGGCTGGCCTCAAACTCTTGGTGATCCTCCTGCCTCAGTCTCCTGAATGGCTGGGATCATACGCATGCACCACCATGCCCATCTGAGATTTTCTATAAACAGGACCGTGTGTCCTCTCCTCCATGAGAAGAGATGGTTTTACTTCTTCCTTTCTGTTTTGGATGCCTTTTGTTTCCTGTGTATGTTTTCAGGGGAGAGCCCACAGGATTTGCTGCTAGACATGGCCCAGAGCCTGAGACAGGAATCAAGGGTGACTCCCCAAGGTTGTTGATCTGAGTACCCTGGGGGAAAGAGTCATCACTTCCTGAGCTGGGGATGACATAGGGGCTGCTGGAAAGCGGTTTTTTTTTTTTTTTTTTTTTTTTTTAAGAGAAAAAAAAAGCAGTAAAAGGGTACAAGTAGTACAGAAGTTCAAGAAAAGCAATAAACAGTAAGAAATCACTAGTTAATAGATTACATATTGTCATCTTAGAAACAGTTGTCCAAATTACAAAATTAAAGCATACAAAGTGGACATTCATACAGTGAGATTGCAGACAGTTCTGTTCAATGATCCAACAAAAACTCAGTAATATGGTTTTCTATCCTACACAATTAAATATACATGCAGTTATATCCTTTAGGCCACTTTCTTGTCCTCTCTTTTTTACAATAACAATTACACTTCTTGGGTTTTATTACTCCCATAGTTCTTACTACTTTTTTTTGAAGATAATAAAACCAAATGTGACAAAACAAAACAGAATCAGAACAGAAGGATGGACATAGTATATGATGCAAAAATAGAATACCAGTTGATCAAAAATGATTACCATTATGCCTTTTGCTAGCTTGAAAAGAGTTGCCCATACGGAAAGCTTTGTTTTGGGCTTGCATTTGAAAAAGCCCCCAAGGCATCTAAGTGGCTGAATTGGGAACTATTACAGGGTGCACAAGAGCCAAAAAGAAAGAATAAGAAATCGGGAGCCAGGCAGTGAGCAGCGGGTCCCTTTGCAGAGTGGCTTAGTGTCCTGTTCAACCTCTCTTCTGGCCTGGCTAGCGCGGAACCCATCCATATTCCACAAGTGCTGTCAGAGTTTACAGGAAAAGGATTTGATACAGGACACATCCTTTATAACACTGTAATATTCACCCAGAGAATCACATGCAAAAGAGTGCAGGAGGTCTGTCCACATACCAGAGACCCAGAGAATCCAGCTGAGGGCTTGGGTCCCAGGGCAATGTCCTGCACAAGTCTGGCTGAAGACCTAGAGCCCATGGCAATGTCCTCCACAAGTCCAGCTGGAGGCCTAGAGCCCACAACAATGTGTCAGGCAAGTCTGTATCAAGGATCTGCCCTGGGAAGGCCCAAAGGCCAGTGGCAGAAGCTTAAAAGTCTGCACCAGCGGGGTGAAGGAGCTGTGCCAGCAGCTGAGGGGTCTGCACTGGAGCCAGGAAGGTGATGCTCAAAGTACAGACCAGAGCTCCTCCAATGATGAGAACAGCTGAGTTCATATCAGGATGCCAGCCCGAGGAGCTTCTCCAGGAGAATCAGCAGCACCACTCGCCTCTCCAGGTCTCCTTTTAGGCTGTTGGAAACGATCCTTAGGTGGGCCTTCCACACCCAGCACCACACGGACTCAGCTCAGCTGTGGGCTCCGAGGTGACCGCCAGCTGTGCATCCATCCCAGCAAGGAAACGCCCAGGCTTTCTCCTGCCATGAATTCCACGGAATAAGCTCCTTTGACCAGGGCAACTACTTGCCACATTGATTGGTGTAGGCTAGTTAAGGGAGACTGTGCGGGCCACGCCAAGTCCAAGCAACATAGTTGTGAGTTTGCTAGGCATGGAGCTTACTCGATCTCTCATCCTGTTTAACCGAAATCTCCAAGGGCGCTCTGTCTGTGAAAGGCCTGTCCACTGAGGCTGACCTTCCGTTTTCTCTTCCAGGTACAATGGTGAAGTAGGAGACATTGTAGTGGGGAGAATCACAGAGGTAAAGTTGGTGTCAGATCAGTTTGTGTAAAGTAAAGGCTGCCTGGTGACTTGGGGCCTGGGGCGGGTGGTCTGCATGTAGTTATTGTAAAAAGGCATTCATGACATGGAGCTGTGGTATGAGTGCCAGCTCGTTATATTTGGGGTTACTGATCATCCCCCTCTTTTTTTTTTTCCCCTGAAGACTGGGTCTCATGTATCCTAGACTGGTCTCAAACTCATGGTGATCCTCCTGCCTCAGCCTCCCCCAGTGCTGGGATAATGCGCGTGTGCCACCACAACTGGTTGTTGGTGTCTTGTGACATGAGCGCTTCTAGGGTGCAGCTTTTCGTTTGCAGGTTCAGCAGAAGCGGTGGAAGGTGGATACCAACTCCAGGCTGGATTCAGTCTTGCTCCTCTCATCCATGAACCTCCCAGGAGGAGAGCTGGTAAGGGTCCTACTGGCCTGCAAGAACAGTTGGCGCCCTTGCGGCACCGGAGAACTCTGCCCGCTGGTGAGCCTATGCCTAACTTGGTGGTGGAGGCTGCTGCCTGCATGTTCCACTGGCCCGGGTCTCAACGCAGCCCCTGGTGTGTGCTAAGATTGGGAGCAGCCGTGAACGGAGTCTCGGCACAGCTGGGGAGAGGCCTACTCAGATGTTACTGCTGCTGAGTCTCCTTTTCTGGGTGTGTCAGCTCTGCACAGTGGGTGTCCCTTGAAAAGGGACAAGAGGTGGCTGAGGGATGGAGGGAATTGGAGAGGAAGCAGGGAGAGGGCTCTTCCAGGTGGCAGACGTGGTGCCTGCCTTTTCCCTCCGGGACCTCGGGTCACCTCCTCTCAGCACAGTGCTCAGGGTCTGCATGTCATGGTTGGCTCACGGATCTGAAGAAGTGGAGGAGAGGGAGTGGGGAAGCCTGGGGCCTCGGCCTGAGCACATGGTTTCTGTCTCAGAGGAGAAGATCCGCAGAGGACGAGCTGGCCATGCGTGGCTTCCTGCAAGAAGGGGACCTCATCAGCGTATCCTCTTGCTGGTCCGAGTCACGTACTTTCCCGGGGCCTACACGTGTCTGCGACAGAAGACCTGAGTCCTGGTCCTGTGACCCGGGCACTGCTGTAGACATTTCCTTCCCTGGGTCACAGCTTCCGGGAGCCCGTGTGGTAATCCAGACTGATGTGTTCTCAGTGTTAAACTTTATCCCAGGAAACAGAAAAGGTATTGCTTATATCAAGGTGTCCATATCGCCCAGGGGGAGAGGCGGGGTCACGTTGATGTCCTCTTAGGCCATGTAAGAGGTAGGGTGGACGGCTGGTGACGGCTGGGGCGGGAGGACAGGGAACAGAGACAGGTAAATGGGTGCCCCGCCTGCCGTTTGCTCCTTTACCGCCCGGCCAGGCGGAGGTCCAGGCAGTGTTCTCCGACGGAGCTGTCTCTCTGCACACGAGGAGCCTGAGATACGGAAAAGTAAGTCGTGCTCTTGCTGTTGCTGTTTGCTGACCAAGGCTTCCAGTCCACTTCCGCCTTCCTGTAGCCCCTGCCATGCCAGCCCGAAGACCCCTGACACCCAAGTGCTGACATCTTTATCCCTTCTGGGGTGGCAGAAATGCCCCTCAGCTGGGGCCATGAGTTCTGTGTCCTCCCGTTCCGTGTAGGGCATGCAGGGGCCAGGCAGGGAGGTTGAGACAGGGCAGGAGTCTCAACCCTTTGTCCCCAGTCAGTGTTCAGCTCAGTAAATTGAGTCTCGTTGTCAGCACAGGCAAGGTTGTTGCCTGAGCCTCTGAGCGCAGTTCTGCTCTGTGTGAGGTACCAGATGGAGGCAGATGGAGGCAGCTCGGTGGTGCGGGTTTCTAGTTTCCTGGCTCTGTAAGAAACCCCTGCCCTTGGGGAGGATCAGCTGCCACCCACGGTGTCGCACTGGGAGTAGATGTACCATACTGAGCCTGCTGACCTGGGGCTGGCAGTCCCCTCCCCAGCAGGACGTGGACCTGGCTCACCCCACTCTTGCCCATATGGGTGTTTGGGGTGAGGGACAAGCTCAGCTTACAGGGCAGGACCCCGAGTCTGGAGCTTCCCTGACCGCTCTCTAGGTTAGCCCACACTGGTGCCTACAAAGGGCAGTGACCAGGGCACCACAGTCACCTTTGAGATGTGCCAACAGCCTGGGGATGCGGAAGTGTTTTCTGCATAAACACACAGGAGCTCAGGTGCACGTGAGGGGATGGTGCTGATAAACAGGAAGCGCGCTGACCTGGTTGCAGCCTGGGTGTGGGCTGTGTGGTCTGGAAGCTGCTGTCACCCTCAAGGCGCACTCACAGTGATGCCCTCTGCAGCTCGGCCAGGGTGTGTTGGTGCAGGTCTCCCCCTCCCTGGTGAAGCGGCAGAAGACCCACTTCCACGACCTGCCCTGTGGTGCCTCCGTGATCCTGGGTAACAATGGCTTCATCTGGATCTACCCGACCCCAGAGCACAAAGATGAGGATGCGGGGGGCTTCATCGCGGATCTGGAGGTGAGGAGGTGCCGCCGCCGAGCGTTGGGGGCAGGTGGGACCGGCTTTCTTCCTTTCTTTCTGGTACTAGGAATAGAACCCATCTTTGCACTGAGCTGGTGCCCGGCCAATTTAAATTTTTTTTTTTTTTTTTTTTTTGTCTTTTTTGAGACAGGGTCTGGCTATGCCATTTGGGCTGGGGTTGAACTCACTTTGTAGCCCAGGCTGATCTCAAGCTTGTAACGATCCTCCTGCCTCAGCCTCCCAAGTGCTGGGATTATAGGTGTGCACCACTATACCTGCCTCCCAATTGCATTTTTTTTTTTTTTTTGTCTTTTTGAGACAAGGTCTCGACGTGTAGTTCAGGCTGGCCTTGAGCTCACTTTGTAGCCTAGGCTGGTCTCGAACTCGAAACAATCCTCCTGCCTCAGCCTCCTCAGTGTTGGGATTACAGGCATGAGCCACCACGCCCGGCCTCCCAATTGAATTTTGAGAAGGGGTCTATCTGAATTGCCCCAGCTGGCCTTTAACTTATGACCCTCTTCCTCAGCTCCTGAGTAGCTGGGGTGACAGGCAGGTACCACCACATGCCGCTTGGAATCTGCCGCTTTTTAAATGCAGCATTGTGTCATTTAACGTTAGGGCCATGTGCGGAGATGTCAGTGTTAAGTAATTTTGTCATTCCTTAGAGAGAGTACTTACGAATTAAGCTACAGCATGGCCAGGTGGCTTAATTGCAGCATTGTCTGTGTGAGTGTCGCTGTGCAGCGTGTGACTATGTGTCACTGCTATAGCCCAGGTGAGCTTAGGTTTCCGTCAGGCAGGGTTATGGTAGCTGGACTGCCTTCTCAGGAAGAGACGGGCATGGGCTGATCCTTTGCTGGCAGAGGTCGTTGTTTGGGATGCCATGCAGGGCGATAGCTGGACAGTCCCCGAGGAAGCTATGCTGTGCTGTCTGCCCATGGTGGCTGTCTGCTTGCGTGGCATCTGAGCGATGATGTCCATGCTACAAGAGGTCTTTCTTGTGGTAACCGGGGGCACTTCTTACTTTGGTGCTGTCCCTTCCTTCCTGTCCCTACAGCCTGTGTCATTGGCCGATCGAGAGGTGATTTCTCGACTCCGGAACTGTGTCGTCTCCTTGGTCACTCAGAGGATGATGCTGTACGACACCAGCATTCTGTACTGCTATGAGGCATCCCTTCCACACCAGGTGCCACCTCCCTTCCTCTTGCTGAGCCGTGGCTTTCTTTAGGTCCCCAGTCATGTGTCCCAAACACTGTTACTGGGTCTCAGTGTCTGGCAGGTCTGTTCCCAGGAACTTGTGGTCTCACTGTCTAGTGTCAGGCTAAGGATGCCGGATATGGCTGGGGTACCAGGGAGACTCTTTTGTGACAGCAGCCTTCTTGACCTCGTCTTCCCTGTCCCAAATTCCAGCCATCTTTCCATGAATATCAGAATAACACCCTTGTTCTTGTGGGCTGCATCCTGGGGAGCCCTGCCGATGCCTCCGGTGGTTCTGGTAGACTGCACCCTGCCAGTTCCACTCCTCTAAGAGAACAGCATCGAAGGTGTCCACTAACCACGCATGGCTTCATGTTAGCTCTGCTGCTCCTTTCTGGCTGGTTTCTTGATGAACACAAACCTTATCTCCCTTCTTTTTCAGATCAAAGATATCCTAAAGCCAGAAGTCATGGAGGAGATTGTGCTGGAAACTCGCCAGAGGCTTTTAGAGCAGGAGGGATGAGGAGAGGCCTCTTCGAGGGGACTGTGTGCCTCACTGGAGTGGGTCTGGGAAGTGGAGGGTCCCCTGCAGCCCAGGCAGGATCCGACGGACTCGTGACTCGCTGTTTGAGGTGGAGCGACTGGCCCCAGCCCCCAGCTCCAGCTGGGCCTGCTTTCTCCCATTGCTGGACCCTGGGGTGAGCAGTGCTCTGGCCCCTGAGGCCTGGCAGGCCCTAGCAGAAAAAGGTGATCTCAGGTCTCATGATGCATGCAAGGTGTCCCAGCCAATGGCTTCCTCTCCTGGAACAATGCAGAGCATCGTTGTCTTCCCTCCACTCCTAACTTTTTTTTTTTTTTTTTGTCTTTTTGAGACAAGAGTCTCACTATGTAGTCCAGGCTGGCCTTGAGCTCACTTTGTAGCCCAGGCTGGCCTCAAACTCATAGCAATCCCGCTGCCTCAGCCTCCTGAGCACTGGGATTACAGGTCTGAGCCACCATGCCAGGCTAAAGACAGATTTAGGGATTTTTTTTTTTTTTTTTTTTTTGGTCTTTTTGAGACAGGGTCTCATATGTGGTTCAGGCTGACCTTGAGCTCACTTTGCAGCCCCTGCTGGTCTCAAACTTGCCAAGATCCTCCTGCCTCAGCCTCCCGAGTGCTGGGATTACAGGCATGTAATCCCTGTGAGGCCCCCCTGGTGGAGAATGTGGCATCCCTGACCTCGAGATGGTCTCCACACCTCCTCCTCCAAGGCGCAGATGTGACACAGAGGAAACAGTTGGTGAAGCTACCCCAGCAGTCACGTGGGAGAATAAAGCTACCCGCAGCCTCTGCCTGGCTGAGTCTCATTCCCCGTACGAGCGCGGTCCTTGGAGTGACAGATGCCAGAGTCCCACCCTGGACTGCCTGCCCCTGCCCTGGCTTCCAGGGCAGTTTGTGAGAAGCTGAGCTGCTCTGGTAATAGGGCCCATTGTACTTTTGGGTGCTCTGATAAATTCGACAAAAGCAAAGTGAGAAAAATGGGAAACAGCTGTTTTTCTTTCCTAATTAAAGCAGTGACACATGGGGTTACAGGTGAATACAAGATACTGAGGTGTTCACTGAGGAGTGCTGGCATTCCTGTACCTTGTATTCCTGCCGACTGTTTAGGAATGGTGCCCTCACTTAGGTTCCAGGAAAGATGTTTTTAAAGGCACTATACATGCAAGTGTTTCTTATTTTGCGTGTCTGGTGAACCTTTTTCTTAATATTTCCAATGTATTAATGTTGGTTTCTGTTCTTGTCCTCTGGGTAATAGCTGGATACAGTCGAAGGAGGACTCAGACACAACTTCCTCCTAGCTGGGGATCTGCTACTCTACTTGGGTCACAGGGCTCACTGTGCAGTTCAGGCTGGCCTTGAAGGCACAGCGATTCTCTGCCTCAGCCTCCTGAGTGCTAGGATTGTAGGGCTGCCACTCCTACACTTTGATCACTGCAGTTGATAGTTTATTTTTAAATACAACTTGGCTTTTTTAAAAAAAATGAAATAGCATGTTTCTTTATAACACTAGCCAATAGCTTATTTCACTTTTGTTTTATCCCACGTGGCACCTATGTTGAGGAATTTGCAGATAGCAGTATTCTCTGTTGTAAGTGGAGGAGGCTGGCTTTCCCATCATTCTTGAGAACATTTCTAGGCTGTATACCTGCTGGGAGAAAGGAATGCGTAAGAGTGGAGCCTGTGCCCCACCCAAGCTCGCTATCCTCTTGGCCTGGCATATTCCAGGCTGCCAGCTTAGGCCCTTTATTCATTCAGGCTGGGCGGTAACTGAGGAAAGGACTCTGAAGGCACCCATAGGTGATTACCTGCTTTCCACGGCCCACTAGAGGGCGCCCTTGTTAAGTAGTTGGGGTAGGTAGTCACCCAGAGCTCTGCTTTATAAAAGTAAGAACAAAATTAGACCAAACTGACTCACTTGTAATAAAAGGATATGAGCTTAAGGAGATACGGGCTACATCCCACCAGCACTGATGGTTATTGTGCTCTGGATTCTAGTTTTAAGTCCAAAATATTCTCCAGTGTTGTGGGATTAAAAACTTATACATCTCAAAAAAAGTACAGCATGGGTTTGGGAGTCACCTGAAACTAGGAGACAACAGAAGTGAAAACGAGCCCAGCAATGAGCCTCCAGAGATTGCATATCAGTCTTCCTGGAGAACCAGTCTAGTTGGTGCCTCATTGCTGCTCAGCCTTTTGGCTAAGGTCAGGCCTAGTTCCAGCCCCGGCATGACCTAATAACAGTAAGCAGCCACGACCCCTGCTTATAGGTGGAGAAATTCATAGCGGGGTAAGGTGACCGGCTTGGCTGAGCCTGTTAACAGCTGTGAATCAGGAACAGACGAGCTGCAGGAGAGGCATAAAGCAGTCTGGAAGTTGGGCTGACAGGTGATGGATCCAGAAGTTTAATTTCCAACATTGAGACAGATCTTTGGGAAGTTACTTTGTTTATTGCTTGGCCCTTTCTCCCTGAAAGTGTCCCTCCTGCCCCCAACTGCTGTATCCCCCGCACAAGAAGTGTGCAGAAAGTTCTGACTGATTTTAAGCACAAGCAGCGAAGAAAGGATGCAGGTGTTGGGGTAGGGATGTAGCTCAGTGTCCAGTTACTGCTTAGCCTATGTGAGGTTTTGGGTTCAATCCCCAGTAATGAAAAGAAAGAAAGATGTAAGGAAATTAATGAGGCATAAATAGGAATTTTTAAAACAGTAATCAGGATAAGGTAATGGGTCATAATCAAAGAGGGACAAAGGGCACTGAAGTTTGAAGTTCCAGTTGTAAGTTTGTGTGCAAGTTTTTGTAATGTTTCACATCACATTCGTATCTCCAAGTGACTGTTTCCTCTGCATTGTACCATTCTGATATTTATACTCTTTTTTTTTTTTTTTAACTTTTTATCGGTACCGGGGATCGAACTCACGACCTCCTGCTTGCAAGGCAGGTGCTTATGCCGCTGAGCTAAATCCCCAGCCCCCGCATTGTACCATTCTGGAAAACCATTTCTGTGTCTAGCCGAAACACTTTTAAAATACTTAACACAACATCAGCAGTGGCGGTGCCCTCTGATACCAGTAGCAACTTGTGAAAGATAAATTGCCTAACACTGACTCAAGAGTTACAATATTTGAGACTGAAATGTGCGGTAAAAAATCTGTGAGTTTTGGAGCAAGGTCCGGCTGGGCTGCAGTGGCTGTCATATACCAGCCGAGTGATCCCTGTAAGTCACGCCTCTCCTTTCCCCACCTGAGGGTTAGGAATGTCACTACCCTCCGTGCCTTGTTGGGCTATTGTGTGGGCTAAGCGAGACCACGGGTTAGATGTTCCACTATGGGGTCCAGGGAGAGTGAAGGAAGAGGACCGAGTTGTGGAAGGTACTAGCTGTAGGCCTACAAAATCCCAAACGGCATTTGCTGGGCATTGCAAATGCGTGTTCACTTGTGTAGTGTTAGAGGTTCATTCTGCAAACATCTAGGATTGCACCTGACAAACACTCCGAACAAATGGTGTTTCTTCAATGAGTGAGCCTCTCGATAGTCCCCAAACAAGCCACGGACTTGGTCAGCCACACTTAAATACTTGCGTTCTGTGCCCTCTTCGAGGTCTAGTATTTATGTTGGGAGAGGGTGGCGTGTCAGGAATGAAAGACACCAAATGCCTTGGTTTCCGGGAGTGGGCCAAAGTTTCTCAAGAGGCTCAAGCAACTAATCCAACTCGGGATCTGGGAAAATCCAATCCGCAGTTTCTCCTCGCTCTGGCTCTCCGCCAGTCTCCCTACTCGCACAGAGAAGACAGAGGCCCACTACAGCCAGAATCCACGGGCTCCTAGGAGTGCGGAGCTGGCGCTCGAGAGCCAGGACCCGGGGGCTCCCCGGACCACAGCTCCCGGCACGCCCCGCGGCGATGCCAAATACGGTTGGCTGGCAGCTCTCGCCCTACTGCTCTCTTTGACCAATAGGAAGGAAGACAGCGGCCTGATCCGAATTCCTAGTGACCAATGATAGTACAGAGAAGGCGGGAGCTTCCTTACAGCTCACCTTGCGGTCTGGAAAACCAAACGTAAAAGGTCGTGTGTGGGGGGGTCTAGCTGTCGCGGGTGGTGACACGGAAGCCGGCAGGTGCGGCGGCGTCCCGGCAAACCGGCTCCGAGGGTTCTCTGGTCCCCACAAGGCGGGCGCCGGGCGTCGAGGGGGGCGGGGCCGGGGGCGGGGCCTGGCCTCGTTGTGGATCGGCTCGTAATCCATCATGGCGGCCGCGGGGGTCGGTGTCTGTCCCTGAGCGGTGCCGGAGCCCGAGCGCGAGCCGGAGCCAGGCCCAGGTCCGGGTCCCTGTGTTGCGGCGGACAAAGCCCCTCGGTGCTCCACGGCCCCGCCGGCCGGGGCAGGCTGGGTCTCCTCGAAGGGGCTCGGGGAATGTAACTGCTTGGCGTCGGCGTCGGCGTCCGGAGCTGGGGAGGGGGTGTCTCGGACCGAGACCCCCGGGCTGCGGGCAGCGGTAGCGACCGGGCCTCCTCCCCCCGTGACGGCCTCCCGACTTCGGGGCCGCGAGAGCTTCGTCCATTACACCCCTATCCCGGATCAGGACCCTGGGGTAGGCTGTTACCCTCGACCTGGGACACCCCATTTCCTGAGGCCGGAGGAACGTCGATCCCCGAGTAAGCCCCCCCATGCCCTGCCCTGGCATCCTGCTCTTCCCCCAGATCCCCCCTTTGCTCCAGACCCCGGCCTCAAGTTTGCCCACCGAGCCCCCCATTCAAATCCCCTTCTCGCTGTCAGGTGGCCTCCCCTGCCCCCCAGGTTATTCCCGAGAGCCTCTGATGCCCTGACTTTTCTTCCAATGTCACCTGCGGCCCCCCTGGACTCCGCGAAGCCACAAACTTTAATGGAAAGGGAAAGTCTGGGTTGGTTTCACAGGCCTTTTAAAAAGCGGGCTTAAAAGTTGCTGGCAACGCATTCCTGCCCAGTCTGACTGGAGGGCAGGCTTTCTGTGAATTCTGAGTGACCTGTGTCCTCTTCCGGAGAGCGGCGAAGGGTGGAGAAACCGAGATAGGGGAACGGTGGTAGCCCCTGGAAAAGTTCTGGAGAAGCCTGGAAAGATGGTCCACGTTTCCTTTTTGCTTGGGAATTGAAATGAATTTAGTGTCGTTGTTCCCTTTCAGCAACCCCTGTGACTATTTCTGTTTTAAGTTTTTCTTCTCGAAAAACAGAAGTACTCAGTCCAAGCGGTATACTTCAAGAAACTTTTGGCTTGCATTGTAATTAAGACTGATAAACTGTGGAAATCGTTGGAACTCCTGTTTACATGTGACAGCCCGACTCGGCTTCCTTTGCTGGTGGAAGACATCTTCGTGAGCTTGGACTCAGTTGCTGTCTTGGGAAGCTGCAGTGAATGTGAAATCCAGCTCGGTACTGTTTTCCTCCCCAGCCCACTGTGTTCTGGAAGACCTTGAACCCTCTTCTGACAAGGGGTGCCCATCCTTGCTTTATGGGGCAACAGCCTGGAAAAGTTCTTGGGGACCAAAGAAGGCCAAGTTTGCCTGCCCTGCACTTTATCAAAGGAGCAGGGAAGAAGGAATCATCGAGGCATGGGGGCCCCCACTGCAATGTGTTTGTGGAACATGGTGAGTGCTTTTCAAGATTTCTGGTCAAATTTGTTCGTATGTGTTCAGCTTAGGCCATCAAGAACGTTGTGAAATGAAGGTGCTTCTTTCAGTTCTGCTTAGTTAGCTTTTTTGTTGTTACAGTGGTCTCTGGTGGAACTTGTTCTGTACAAGAAAATGATGGCTTTATTCAAAACTTGTTTGGGTTTATTTTTTGCCTGATTCTGCTTCTGATTCTCTGTTGACATAGGACAAAGCCATTTTAAAGTTCCAGAGCCTTTCTTTCCTTGGGAGTTTGGACTTCATTGGTGTCCTGAGGATCTGTACACAGTTGTTCTTGGCCCTAAGTGCCTGTGTGGATGTTTTGCTACTTGGTCCACACAGAATTCTCATCATAGTCTCAAAGTGATTTGTGCTCTGCAGAAGGGTTAGAACCACAGATCCTGGGGAACTCTAATCTCCACTTTTTAATACTGTGTTAAGTAGGACTTGAAAATCTCCGCTTTGGAGGTGTGTGGGGAAACAGCTTTCCTGCTGCATGGAGGATCCACGGCTTCTGCTTCTACCTGCCCCACACCACCATGCCTGGCAGAGGTTTTTCTTTCTTTTTTTTTTTTACATCCAGTACTGGGGACTAAACCTAGAGTCTTACACATGCTATGCAAGCAGTCTGCCACTTAGCTGTATCCCTAATCCTTTTTAGTTTTTATTTTTAAAAAAGGTCTCACTAGCCAGGCATGGTGGTGCATGCCTATAATGAAAGTATACCTAGGAGGCTGAGGCAGGGGGATCACTTCAAGTTCAAGTTCAAGGCCAGCCTGGACTACATAGTGAGACCCTGTTTAAAAAATAAAAAAAAAAGGAGTTGCCCAGGCTGGTCCCAAGTTTGGCATCCTCCTGCCCTCTTTCCCCCATAGTGAGGATTACAGGCGTGCACTGTCACTCCCAGGTAAGGTTTTGCTTTCTTACAGCAAGTATTCACTTTGGCTAATTAAATCAAGGTACCTGGGTTTTATTTATCTTGAAACATTAGTTCTGTTTTAGTGTTAGGCAGGCAAATGTGGTGTTACTCTACCATCTTCCTTAAATTTAGCATTTGAAAAGAGAATTACTTATATTTGGGTAGTGATGATTATGCAGCTTTAGATTGTAAAGAGTGATATAGAAACTTTGCAGTGAGTTTTTTGTGAATCTGTCGGAATTTAAAATGTGCATACCAGTGGCCCAGTAATCTCAATGGAAAGCTAAACTTGTATCATTTTTAACACATTTGGCTAAAATTTTAGCTTTACAGAGAAAATTAGAGAGATCTTGTATGGAGATCTTGTTGAAGATCTTGTATCTGCCATTGTCATATTGATTGATTAATATATTTACAATTGATTAACAATATTTACAGATGTGATACTTTGATATATCATAATGAAACATATTACTTGAGAGACATATAAACCATGAATCATTTTCTAAGTGATTAACATATATATGAGTAAAAGGTCCATTCACAGCACAAAATGCACTGGTAGACTTTAGTGTAACAGAACACAGAGATGTGATTTTAGTTAAGGTGGCTAGAAAGGCCAGGCTGGGGAGGTAGCATTTGAATAAAAATTTTACCTTATATAGAAGTGCAGGGTGGAGCATTTCCTCAGGGGAGGTCAGGTGCAAAGGTCCTGAGGGCAGAGCCGGGGGAGGGTTATATGCGGGGCTAGAGAGGTAAAATGGAGATGGGGGAGATAACTGGCGAAAGAGGGCCTTGTTGGTCATTTCAAGAATTCTGACCTGTGCCCATGCAGGTTGGGAAACCTTTGGTGGATTTTTGAGAGGCAGTAAGGGGGTGCGTGTTTGCATAGAATTTCCGGGACTGGCGTTGTCTGGAAGAGCAAGGGAGGAAGCCGGGATTGCGCTCTGGGGCCCCCGTACACAGCACAGTGTGATGGTGCTTGGACCCAATGGTGGCAGCTGACAGAGGGTCAGATCCGGTAAATACCTGAAGGCATAGCCCGATGGATTTGCTCTTGGTTAGATGTGGGATTCCTGGAGTTTTAGACTAACCGGGGGAGTGAAGTTGTTTTTTACTGAAATGGTGGCTGATGTTTTTATCACTGGCAGCAAACACAGTGTTTTCTGAGACAGAGTCTCACTGTAACCCAGACTGGCCTCAAACTCACCATGATCCTCCTACCAGCCTCCTGAGTGCTGGGATTACAGGTGTGGGCCACCATGCCCTAATACTTGTTTTCTTTGAAATAGAGGAGTGGAGCTTTGGGGAGGCTACAGAAAGTGAACAGCGGCAGGTTCCTTGCGGGTGTGTTACCTTTGAGGTAAACCTGTCAGGCAGCTGTGCGGGGGTGAGCTTGAGTTCAGGGAAGCAGGCCAGGCTGGAGGGAGAAAGGTGGAGTCCTCAGGTGTAGGTGTTTTGTTTTTGTTTGATTGTGTTTTTGAGACAAGGTCTCACTATGCAGTTCAGGCTGGCCTTGAACGCCCTTTGTAGCCCAGACTGGCCTCCAACTCACAGCGATCCTCCTGCCTCAGCCAGTTTTGCAGGGGCTGCAGGCATGTGGCAACAAACTCAGCAGTGCAGGGACTTAAGGCTGAGACTGGATGCAGCCGTTGTAAAGGAGAAGTCTTCACATAGGAACCTTCTGTGTATGTTAAAGCACACTAAGTAGTTTATGAGTTTGTTTTTGTATGAGAGTAGCTTGAATTTCTTGGGTGACAATCACATTTTGCACTCCATTATTTAACTCATCTTTTAAGTTTTAAATCTTGTTTTTCTGGATCTTTTTTCCCAGTAGGTCAGAGAGTTATAGATAAAAAAAATTGCATGTAGTTTTTCCTATTTCTCTTGATAGTACATTTTTAAACAAAATTATTTTAACTTTAAAATTTTTATGCTTTTCAAATTAATGCTTAGAACTTTGAAACTCTTTTTTTAAAAAGTTAATTGTGTATTTTGAGTTAGTGCATGTATGTCCTTTAAGTTGTTAGTTGACTTACTTGTGCCAAATGTTTTATTACGAGCTTACCTGAAAGCAGTCCTGTAACACTGTTTACTATTGCTAAAGACAAGGGTTCCCCAAAGCAACTTTAAGATAGGAATAATAAGAGCTCCATGCATTGACACTGTTAATTCTTCACTCCAAATGATGCTAGGTACGCACGCACATATGTTAGGAGGTGGGAGGATGTGGTTAAGATTTACAGGTGTTAAAGTTAGGTCAGCCAGATTAGTAAAGAGGCTGCTTGGAAAGATTATAATCCGTGTACTTATGTGAAGGATTGTGTGTGTGTACATTTATAGGTATTTTCATGAAACCTGATTGCCCATTTTAAAAAGCATACTCATTGTATAAACAAAAACATTTCTTGAATGGGAGAGGTACTGAAGTAAAGGAGAGTGACTGAAGACGATTTAACCAGCAGTTTTAATTTTACCTGGCTTAAATGAAGCTGCTAGCAGAGGATGGGAGACCTCGGAGAGGCCATCAGAGCGTTTTGTACCAGTTGTGACTCCAGGCACACAGTGTGTTGAGAACTGGGCTGCAAAGGCCAGCATTTCTCCTTTGAGGGAGGGAGCGGGGTGCATTGCCAGGTTAGGGGAGCTGCTCCCTTGAAGCATCGCCTCGTCCAGCGAAAAGAGAATGAGGCGCCACCTGGCGGGTGGGGAGTGCCCGCAGGCCTCCTTTGCCCACATTCGCCTGCAGTGCATGGCCCCAGGGGCTCCTGGCCTCTGTTGTTTCAGTAGTTGTGCCCCCGAAGTCGTGCCCCTGTGTGTTCAGAACTCACCTGCTTTTTACCACTCGGCTCCAGCTCCCTGTGTGAGTCAGTATTTAAGCACAACATCTCGGGGAGGAAAGACTTAATGTGGCTCCAGGCCATGGCTGGCCAGCGCTGTGCTGGGAGGGCTGGCTGCTCCCCTCACGAGACCAGGAAGGAGCTCGAAGGCCAGAGCCAGGTACTCTTCCCAAGGTCACGTCCCCGGACGAGGCCTGGCTCCCAGGTTTCCATTACTGCCCGGTTATGATCTAATCAGTGAGGCAATCTATTGATGGGTTAGAGCCCCACCTCAGAACACCTGGGACCTTTGGGCGACCTTCTCCAGCTAACCGGCTGTATCCTCCTTCCCAAGATCAGCTGTAGAGTGTCTGGTTCTTACTCATTTTCTGTGACTTTCGCCCATTTAATTCTCTGTGAGACAGGCTGGTAGTCATGTTCTGGGTAGTGTTTCCTGATCATTTCCTGGGAGTTGGGTCCTCAAGTAAGTGGCAGGGTCCGCCTCCTTCTTTGTTATGTCAGCTCACATGGCTGAACATTTAGCCCCTCACTAAAAACTTACTGTTTAGTAAAAATTCTATTAAATGAGCTGCTTGTGCTGGCATGTGCCTGTAATCCAACCACTCAGGAGGCTGAGGCAGGAGGATTGTTGCAAGTTCAAGACCAGCCTGGGCTGCAAAATGAGCTCAGGGCCAGCCTGAACTGCATAGAAAGACCCTGTCTCAAAAAGACAAAATGCTGTTAAATGGACTAAGTAAGACATTGAGCTAGTTAGCCATTTACACAGGGTGGGAGACAGTTCTCAAACAGGTAATACATCTTTTCCAGGGTTTCTGTCTGAATTTAGTACCGTACCGGGGCTTCTTTCCAGGGGAAGACACTTGTGCATGTTTCCTTTTCCTGTTACCTACTGTGGCAGAATGTGCGTGACAGTGGTCAGCCGAGCCATTTCAGTACTCAGTTGAACGGTAGGAATTGTGTTTACGATGGTGCAGCCACACCACTAGCTCCTTCTAGAACTTTCTCATTCCAGCTGGAGACGCTGAACCTGTTAGAAAGAACAGCCACCCCCCCCCCCTTGGTCCTGTGTGACAACGGCGTCTGCTGCTGCTTTCTGCCTGCTTTGCACCTCTGCTGGCGCCGTGTGTGCTGTCCCGTGGCCCGGCGTCACGGGACTCATCTCTGTGTGGCCCCTCCGCCTTGCCGCACCTGTGCCCCATCGGTGTTCATTAATGTTCTGTGGG